TAGCTTGATTAAGGTGCAATCCTGCCGCTGAGTAGCTGATGGCAGGAAAGGTGGGATTTCGTACCATGTATAGTTGAAAGAGTGTGGGCTTTGGAGTCAAGTAGCCTTGGTTTTAATTCCAATTCTGATATTATTAGCTGTGTGCATGTGTGCAAGTTGCTTGACCTCTCTGTTGCTCTGTTTTCTTATCTGTAGAAAGGGTGGTGATACTATCTCACCAGACTGTTTTGAGGATGGCCTTAGATTATGTCTGCAAAATAACCACTACCTTGCCTGGCATATAATAGACACTCAAATTATATGCTCAACTTTGCTTTCACCTTCCCTTCCCAAAATGTAGGACACAGGGGTGCATGTAAATTTCTGCACTTAAAATTTCCTGAGTAGAGGATGAGTGAGAGCTGGCTTATTAGCACTTAACCATCAAAGGGATCTTGGATAAGTTTTGGACTCAAAAAAAGAAGGCAATGTAGCTTTAGGATGAGGTCCGTATTATGGGCTGTAAAACCTCTTCTTGTTTGGACTGGTCACACCATACTAGAAGTACGTTGTGTTCAGCTCCGAGACCACATCTTGAGAGGCCATATAGGGAGGCTTTTAAAAACCAGACTGCCCAGGATTAAGGCCTGACTCTCCTTAAAAGCTCTGTGCCTAGAAAAACTCCATCTCTTCATCAGTCAAATGAGGGGTCATGATGGCACCTACCTCGTAGGGTTGTTGTCAGGAATAAATGAATTGTTATGTGCAGACTGCTTAGATGAATGCCAGGCACAGAGCAAGTTCCCTGTGAGTGTTAGCTGCTTTTGAGGGGCCTTGTAGGAAAGCCCAAGGATGGTGGGCTTTCGTATTTAGGAAGAAACAGTGAAATTAGAGGTGTATAACCTGAGAAAGAATGAAATGTTGAGAGCCCCTTACCATTGAAAGAGAAATTTTATGGAAGGAATAGATTTATTTTGTTACTGAAAAAGGTGGAACTTGGATCAATAGGTATTCATTCTAAAGAGGCTGATTTTATTTTATTTTAACGAAAGGCTTTGTAATAAGTAGAGCTGTTCAAAATTGCAATGGCTTGCTTTTGAGCTAGTGAACTCTCCATTGCAGGGGCTTAGGAGCCTGAGGAGGGGTTCCTGCTGTGGCTGGTGGGGTGAGCTAGGTGACAGGTGTTCCCTTCTCCCCTGCTATCAGTTCCCATCAAGGAATGGCTTACAGCAAAATAATCCCACCCTGAAATTCGCTGGGTATTGGTAGATTGCCTGGGAACTTTCTCCTTGGATCAGTCTGCTCTTATGGTCTACCATTCGTTCATTTTGCAAATATTTATTGTGTGAGACATTGTATTTCTGGTCTCATTTTGCAGAAAACAGGTTGGAAATGAATATTTATGTGACACTATACAATCCTGGGAGGAACACAGTGAACTAGGTTTCTTTGTTGTTGGGAGACAGACAGCTCTCCGTGGGAGTGTTGTGCTTTGGGAGTTCTTTTGAGCAAAGCACTGAGTGCCCTTTGTTTTAGACTATCTTGTCAAGGGTGTTTGTTTAGTAAACGGTCATGGAGGACAGAGATAATCCCCCCCCCCCCCAGTAAAAGGCAGACATGTTTATTGCCTAGTATAAAAGATTCGGTTTCCCAAGCTCAGGGTTCCTGTCCAGTAACGCCGTGTGTGTGGACGTCCATTTGAGCCCATCTGCTTACCCACCACGGGACTTGGGGGAAAGGCACATATGCTGGTGTCCGTGCTACTTGCTGTGCTATGAGGAATGGAGTCCTTAGCCTCTGACCTGGGAGCATCCGTAAAACTGGGAGGCTCACTTGTTAGTTTGTAGGCAGGATAAACATCTCAGAACCTTCACAGCTCTTGACATCGAGGAGGAGTGATGTGAGAGTCAGAGAGGTCAGATCCCATGCCCAGTGCTGAGTGATCTACTCTTTGGGGGTGATGAAATTCGAACTTGTCTCCAAAGGGTGTCCTTCCCATTACATTGCAGAAAAATGCTGCTGCTTTTACTGCTGCTCCTCTTCCTCCTCCTCCTAGGACTTACTGCTACTGTGACGATGGTAGCTAGCAACAGCAGTGGACATGTGTTGAGTGCTAATGATATGGTGGACCTTGTTTGATGTCATTTAACTCTCACCAACAACCCTGTAAGGAAGGTATGCCTACCATCTCCATTTTGTAGAAGAGCAAGAGGAGACACCATTACCAAGGTCCTGTGGGCAGTAAGTAGATGGTGGAGCCAGGATTCTGGGCAGTTTGAGCCCAGAGCCCATAACTATAGCAGTTAGGAGCATAATCTGAAAACAGGACACCCTGGGTTTTGAATCCCTGTACTATCCCTTATTCTCATTGCGTGAGGGGTCCAAGCAACCTCTTCAAACCTCAGCTGCCATCTCTGTAAAAAGGGAGAGGCAGGATAATAGGACCTGCTCCAAAGGGCTGTTATGAGGATTAAACATACATTCTAGAAAGTGTGCAGCACAGCTGGCTCCTGGCAGCTAGTAAGCCTCTCTAAATATTAGCGGCCATTATTATTTCTTATCCTTGCTACCTTCCTTTTCTCTAATTAAAAAAAAAAACTTTAATGGCTTGCACCCTCTAATGTATTTTTTTACTAAAGGCAAAATGTCACTCAGCCCAGTTTTGCATCAAGAAGATGAATTTCAAATGTGGGACAGACCTGGCATGAGCTGCTTTCCTTATATAAGTATTTTCTCTAAAAATGAAAACCACTTAAACCCCCTATAGACCCAATTTACTGTTCAATCTTCATTTCAGTAACCCTTTCTATTTCCTAAATAACTCCTAAGGCTCCGGTAATACATTACAGTGACAGCCGATGCCCAAGAAGGTGTCTTCTCGGGGCCTGACATTTTCCCAAATGGTAATTCTACTTCATGTAAACAATGGGAAATGCTTGGTGTGCTTCCTTCCACAAATGGTGGTGGAGAGGAAATTATGCAAAATATTATAAGGATGGCAAACTGATCCAGGGTAGCTTTACAAGCTCTGTGGCCGTTTGCTGTTACAAAGGGGGAAATAATAGAGTTCAATATCCAGGAACGCTTCCCTTTGGGACAGTTGATACATTGGAGGCATTTTCTGGTTGTGCTTTGCTTTAGATGAACAGCCCGGAAAGTTTCAGGTTTAAAGAGCAAAGTTATGTATCATAGAAACAACAGGAAGACGTGCTTAGCTACTCAGTACGCAAATATTCTAATAGCAGTTGCTCTGTCTTTGAAACCAAATCCCCCTCCTAAGTTCCCCACTCTGATTTACTTTATTAGTCAAACACTTGTGTGCTGTTCTCTACCTGAAGTCACCTTGGAGGTGAAAGTCACCTTCGAGGTAGTCTGACCAGCTGACAGAGGAGGACACAGGCTCTGGCATGATAAAGGCCTTCCTCTTCCATGCCTTGGGGTTCCCAGAGTGGTGCTTTCCTGAGTGTACCCCATGTTCCTTAGAGGCTTCACTTTTTCCTTCATTCTCCCCTCTTCCCCTCCCATCTCATGCTAGATCAGATCTTTTGGCACCTGTAACACACAACATTTTTTTTGGAGGTTAGATTGAAGTCAACGGCTGGCCTGCCGAACCTCCCTCTAAATTGAAAAAGAAGTTTTATATATTAAGTGGCTCATGAATTAAGATTGTTGGCTGTAAATGACCGTTTGGAAAGTCTGGTGTACAGAATTTCGCTTGCAAATACCTAGCACGGGTATGTGATTGATTTGCTGATAGACCATCTCTGAAAGCAGTTCTAATGATGGACTTATAATTGATGGCATCCACCACTGAGAGTCTAAAATACCCCCTCCCTAAATTAAACAAAGGTAAGTGAAATAAACTATGCTGAATGTATAAGCTGACAAATCTGAGGGAATTTAATGAAACTCTAAATTACTGCAGCCAACAAATAAGAGAAAAGGGTTCCTTTGTTACTGATTATAACACTAAATTAAAAAAAATTATCCAAGAAAAATAATAGAGGAAACAAAGATCTATGGCCCATGTATCAAACTAAGTTATTGAAAGATTTTTAATGAGTATCAATCTCATTCCCTGGGTATTGTTGATTCCTATCAATCTTGCGCGTGCTGTTGGAAGAATGGCGAATGCAGAGACTGTCTTGTAGTATGGCTCATTATTGCTGTTGTAACAGACTTTAGAATTAATATGACCTTACTTCCAGGCTGCTGGGGGCTCTGTACCAAATTGAGGTTACTTAAATGAGCTATTTGAACGGTGGCTCCTCAGTGTTTGAGTAATTTTGTCCATTAGTGCACTTTTAGCTATATATAAAAAGACCAACTGAAAGTGACTTAAAACAATGGCTGTTATCTCCCCTAACAGGAAGTCCTGAGGTAAGGCAGCTGCGGGATTGGCTGCTTCTGTGGCCCTATGACGTCATAGTGGCAGCTTGGCATCTGTCTCGGCTTTCCCTTCCATGGCTGTAAGATGGCTGAAGCAGTTGAGCATCTCAGCTTTGTACCAGTATTGAGTGTTGAGTAAAGGAACCTGCTTCCTGTTCACCTTGCAAGCAGACGATTCCTAGAAGTCCTTAGGTCTCGTTGGCCAGACTTGTAACTATTGGGCTGTCGGAAAAGTCGTGACATATTTTTTTCCATGTTTTTCGTTGCAAAAATGCGTCATGACTTTTCCGACAACCCAATAGCGAGGGGAATGGAATTGTCAGGCATTTACTAGGATGCATTCAAACAAATCCGGACCTGCCCAGACTTGCAGAGTTCATGCTGCCTATTGCCTGATTAAAACTGGTATGCCAAGGGGATAGTGAAGGGACAGGCTCCTTGGATAGGCAACCGACAAGTCCATGGAGATGCTCCGTTGGAATTGACAATGAAGATGGCTTCATGTTTTCTGATACTAACTTGTTTCATTTCCTAGTGTGTGGGATGAATGTGCTAGCATATCGTCTAACTCGTCTTTCTTTCCTTTTTTTGCTTTTGTTTGACTCAGCTTGATGTATTCTGTCTTTTATCAGGACTTTGTCTACCAGTGACGATGTTGAAGACAGAGAAAACGAGAAGGGTCGCCTTGAAGAAGCCTATGAGAAGTGTGACCGTGACCTGGATGAATTGATTGTGCAGCACTATACGGAATTGACGACGGCCATTCGCACGTACCAGAGCATTACTGAGCGCATCACCAACTCCCGAAATAAAATCAAGCAGGTGAGCTCTCCTTTCCTCTCGTCTGGCGATCGCAGTACCTTCCTGTTCCTCCAGGTCTGGCTGGGAGCTGGGTGCCATGGGTAGTGGTGATGGCCTCAGTGAGTGACCCCTGAGGATGCTTTCATGAGTCATGCAGGTGGACGGGCATATGCTGGGCAGCCTGGCTGCAGAGGGCCCCAGAGGGCCTCCTGGCTGGCTTTTCCTCTCTCCTAGGTCCGTCCTTGGCTTCCGCCATCACTTCTCACTGCAGTGGGAAATGACCTAGGCGATGGCCACAACTGGAGGAAGAGAGGAGAGCTGTTTTCAGATGCTAGGGCCTCTTAGGGGCTCCCCTCACAGTGTATCCAGAATATTTAATGTGCTCATATTGTACACTCTGCGCATGCGTGCGTGTGTGCGTGTGTGCGTGTCTGGCTCTAGTGGTTGAAAAAATTTTTTGACATTTTGCCTTTGAGTATGTCACCTAATGTGAAATTGGTTGTGATTTCTCTGCAGTGATTGTACATAGTTTTTGTGAAGAAAATCTAGCTTACAAATTATTTAAACATATAATGAAATGTTTTTGAATACCAAGTTCTTTAATATCATTCTTTAGTAGTGAGAAGTATGTATTAATTTTTATTTTGTTATTTTCTTTTCATATCTTGCAGCTGTTTTTCTTTCTCTCCCCTCCCTCCCTCCCTCCCTCCCTCCTTCCTTCTCCTGCCTCCTTCCTTTTGTGGTAGGTGCATGAAAAGCTCTCAGTTCCTGGGTACCATGTCTTTAGTGCCTGAAGGGTAAAGTGGGTTCACAAGGGGTATTTTTATATTTGGTCAAGGGAGGAGCTGATCAAATAAGCATTCTAGTTATGTGGTTCTTGGTTATGTATTTTGAGAGTCACCCCTTTCATACCTTTTAGGATGACTCTGATAAATAATAATTTCCACCACTTGGTGAGCACTGATTCCTTGCTGCTATTCCTCATTCAACAAATTTAGAATTTAGACTCTGGTCTCCCCGACTCTAAAGCCCTTGCTGCTGGTTTTCAGACATTTTTAAGGCAGTGACCTTCCCCATCTCCCCCACCTTTTTTAAATGCGGTATTTTGCAGCACCCCAGCATACCAGACATTAAGGGAGGTGGTGCTCTCCTCTTGTTGATGTTGGGGTGTGAGGTCTGGAGCCTCATGCTCGGTCCCCCCTCAGCATTGGCTCGGCCCCTCACGCATTTCTGGGGTGCTGTACAGACCACTTGAATCGTACTGTCCTGGGCCATTTGGTTGGTTCGGGGATTCTCTGGACGCTACCTGCCCAGTAATAGCTGGGCTTATGGCATTCTCATATGTTTTCTGTCTTTCAGGCCTTATATCATGATTTTGTAAGCAGATAGATAAGATTACCCTTCTAAGAATGCTGTTGCTATATGTGTTTCAGCCTCTGAGAGTACAGTCCCAGAATCAGTGAGCTCTTAACCTTTTTGAAGCAATGTGCTGACCTCCTTACATTTTAAAATTAGCTGGGCCTTTTTGAAAGGAACACACTATCTCTTAGCCTTTACACTGGCGAGTTCATCCTGAGGCTTTATCTGTGAAACCAGGTGAAGCTATAGATCGGTTGCTCTAGATTTAAAGGAAACTGGGGTCCATTTTGACCCAATACACAAAACCCAAGAGGGGTCAGACATGACTGTACAGAGCTGCTGACCTCTGGCTTTGCCTCGGGTAATCACAGGAAGGTGAGGGACCTTTAGGTATTGGTGTTTTCTGATTCGTTTGCTCAGCTGCAAGGACCTTGTCCTAATCTCCAGGGAAGTGCTGGCGCTGGTTTCTGTCTGAACTCTATATCCCTCTGAGTCAATAGCATCTTTGCCCAAAGAGCATTTGCAGGTATTGAAAAAGAGTCCCATTTTGATTATTTAGTAGCCACAGGCTTTTTACTTTCCTCATTTTTAAGTATGGCGGAGTTTTGAACAGAAGAAAACCAAAAAGAAAAAAGAAAGAAAAGTTGTGTTTATTATATCAGTTGTCAAAGAAAAAAAAAAAGTCACACGATTCTGTGTTGTGAATTAGCTTCAAACCTGGGAAGAGAAAGAAGGGGCTAAAGCTCTTTTCAAAAAAGGCTTGAATAATTGATAAATCGAGAAGAAAAATGTTGGGGAAAAATCAAAGTGAATTCCTTTTCATCCGTTTCTTATCACCAAGGAAACGCTGAAGCTTCCTCTCCAATCTTTTCCTATCATTGTGGTTTTTAATTGTACTCTGGGTTATATACAAAATATAGGTATGTGTATTTTTCAAGTAAAAATGGGATAACTCAGTAATCCAAGGACTACATTATTTGAGATCCAAGCAAGAAGATGAGAATGTATAGATCCGAGTAGAAATTTTCTTTGCTCTCTGCAAAAAGTTCAATATAGAGGGTGCAAAAAATAAAAAATGCATACACATTTTAAGAAAGGAAAATTGTATTAAAATTGTAGTACTCAATATATACTGAACAAAAGATGAATACAAGTCATGTTTGACTTCTGCAATTACAAGAGGTGCTCAAAGTGGTGCCCATCAGTGTCCGGACACTTCTGATTACAGCAAACTGCTGCGTGAGCGAACTGTTAACATCTCGTAAAATGTGTGTACATTGTTTTGGTGCCCCCGGTATTTGTAGGGTGCCACCTACATGCCTGGTTCTATTGCAGATGCTGGGGCTGTAACAATGGAAAACACCAGTCCTTGTCCTCATGGAGCTTACATGCTAATGGCAGGTGACAGAAAAGCAGATGATACTGAACTATGTTGATACAGTCTCTGGATATGAAGTGTCTGTTTTGGGCTGAGTGTAAGCTCTGACATACAGAAGTGACTAGAACATAAAACACCTGTCCTCGTGGAGTTTACATTCTAGCCAGGGGAGACAGAGTATAATAAATAAGTAAAATATGCTACAACAAATGGTAAGAAGTTATGTAACCCCCCCAAAGCCCCCCCAAAAAAACATAAAAAGGGAGGATGGAGTTGCTGCTTTCAGTAGATTGGTCAGAGAAGGCTTCCCTGAGGTTGCATTTGAGCATCACCTTAAGGAGGCGAGGGAGTCAGGAGAGCACCTCAGGAAGAAGGAATCACCAGGTATAAACAGAGGATATAAAGGAATCCTGAAGCAGGAACAGGACTGGAATTTGGGGGAAGCAGCAAGGAGGCCAGTGGGGCCGGAGCCAAGTGGGGGAGAGGAGCTGGAGAGAGATGGGAGCTGGGGGCTGCGGTGCGGCCGAGGGGGCCCATCACGTAGCGTCTAGATCACTGTGAGGACTTTGATGTTAGGCCTGAGTGTGATGTGAACCCATTGTGTGGGTTTGAGCACGGGAATGACATGATATAACAAAAAAGGCCGCTCTAGCTTCTATGCTGGGCATAGATTTTAGTGGGAACCAAGGTACATGAAAATGTTCGTATGCGTGCTGTGTCACCTTTAAAAGCTTGAGAACACGGAACTGTGTACATTTCCCATTTTGATATGTGTTGCACATATGAATTTATGTTGCATTGATAGAGTCTGTGTCCTGGGTTGATAAGAGCTGGCAAATTTGACTCTCTTCCCAGATGGTCCAAAGTTTTTCACATCAGTCAAGTCCATTTGGAATTTTTTCTAGATTTAAAAAGAAACAAAAGCCATATGCGAATAAAATACCATGTATGACTGATCAGGTCAAGTAACGTGGATAATAAGCAAAATACTCGAGCGATCCTGTAACTGTTGATTACATTGTAAAATTGGTCAACATGAGAGGTTATTGCATCAGAAAACTTCCAAGTCCCTAGGTTCTGCCAGCGTCTCTCATATAATGACAAATACAGCAGCAGCAGCAGCACCAAAACAGATGAATATGAGTAGATACAAGTGGGGGACTCGGAGTGTATAGGTGATGTTTGTTGGTAGTTGAATTTGAGTGCTTCCTCCATGGTGTAGGAGTTGGATGAGATGATACCAGATTACTTTAAAGACCCTAAGTAGCCCATCTAATCCTTCTCCTAGGAGCAGGTAGGCTGAAGGGAAAACACGGATATTTTCCATTTCACCCCAATTTTGGCTACCCTGTTGGTGGTAGATCAAGCTCTTAACTCATTTTTCTTGCCTGTAATTGGAAATAACTCTACGTGATTATCCAAGTGAAGTTGTTAGGATTTAATCAGTGAGTAATGCAACATTCATTCATTAACACTCAACTACAATCTTGTGGCTTTTATATGACAGTATCTCTTGAATGGTAGAATCAGACTGAAGAATAACCCTAATGAATATTTTAGAGTCACAGTAGACCAAGATGGTTTTGGTAGGAAGTGATTTACAGCCCACCTAGAAGATGGAACACCCCAGCTGCTTAGATGAGAAAGAGGGGAAAAGCCTAGAAAAGGACACGCTAAGCTGTGGGCAATCATGAGATTTCTGAATGAAATTCTAGGTGGTAGTTTGTGGTGCTTTGATGCAGTCACAGGAACTATGAGGTCATCTTTCCATTAAGTTGAACTGTATTTGTGTTTGCGTAGTGTATCTGGACCCTGCAACTCAAAAGCCAATTATTGCGCTTGGAAAGGGTTGAGTGGAGCCTCTCAGAGAATTGAGCACCTTAGAATGGTAGCTTAAAAACTAAGGGACAAAAGCATGGGAAATAAGTTCAAGGGTAATTTAAAATGATCTTTAGTGATAAAGGGCTTTTCAACAGAACAGTGAGCAGTGTTTCTGAAGTTCACTCTTTCTAGGTACTTTATACGATAAGGAAAAAACACGGGGACACTGACATCAGGAAAATACCCATGAAAACACTGGCATGTAGATTCGACTCTAAAAAAGAGAAAATGTCATATTTTGTACTTTTAGAATTAAGAATAATTTGTTATATTCCTCGTCATTTACCGTCCCTTACACATGCAGAGCTTTTCAGGAGAGTTGTAGTTTAGTTTCAATGAGGCGTTTGCACACTTGTACTTCCTGAACGTAACGTGCACACTCAAAGGCCTTTGCTCCATTTAT